TAATAGAATGCTGTCTAGATCTTTTTAAATAACTAGAGGGCCGGGTGCACAAAATTTGTGCACTGGCAGTGGGGAGGGGGGTCCTCTCAGCCTGGCTTGCACCCTCTCACAGTCCGGGGACTCCTCGCTCCTTACCACCCGCCTGCTTGCTGCTCCTGTTTGGCTCGCTGCTCCTTAGCACTGCTGCAGAAGCAGGAGAGGCTCCCGCCACCGCCACTGCACTCGCCAACCATGAGCCGGCTTCTGGCTGAGCGGCGCTCCCCCTGTGGGAGTGCACTGACCACCAGGGGGCAGCTCCTGCGTTGAGCGTCTGCCCTCTGGTGGTCAGTGCACATCATAACAACTGGTCGTTCTGGTTGTTCTGCCGTAACAGTCGTTTAGGCTTTTATATATAGATGCTTATGATGAGTTTGTGTAACATGGAAAGATGTATGTTTCTAAAGAAAGGACTAAAAAGTCTGGAAGGAAATGTAGTGGAATTGGGAATTTTTGTATTTATCTTCATTTTCTTTTCAGTATTTGTCAGTTTAATTATGTGAGAGCAAAAGATGAGGCCAACAGAAGGTAAAATGGTAGTTGTCCCTCCCTCCTTCCCACCCTCCCTCCCTCTGTCTTAAAAAAAATCACTAAGCATATCCTCAGGTTAGGATTAAAAATACATACATACATACATATATACATACATACATACATACCTAAGGATTGAGAAAGGGCCTTTGGATTGGGTAAGAAAACGTCAGTGACTCTTTAGAATTCAGTTTCATTCAGAAGAGTTAAGGAGCAGCAGGAGAAAATAGAAACAGTAGCATACACTTTTTCTTCTATAGGAGTGAATTGAAGAGGAAGGAACTAACTCAGGGTTAGTAAGATCAAAGCAGGGCTTTTTCAGTTTGCATAAACTTGGTAATATTTTAAGCTAGTGTTTCTGTGGAGTACTTGTCTCTCGTGGGTTTCCTGTCTCTCTCTATCTATCTATTTATTTATTGACTGATTGATTGATTGATTGTCTAAATCTCCTGTCTCTTTTGCTGTTCCTTCTCTTCTCCCCAGCCCTTTCATAGTGGAATGTACTCTTCCTCATCTATACTCACTGCCTTGGTGATTGTGCTGCAGAGTCTTCCATTTGCCCCTCCAGGTCCACTCCTTCTCTACCTGCTTTCTCTCCCAGGAGGATGACCTGCATGGACTATATCAACAAGCTTCCCAGGATGCTGGAGGGAAAGAGGGAGGAGAATGAGATGGGAGCATTTGTCCCCTTAGCTCCCAGTCTGCAGGCTCACTTCAGGCTGGTTGAATTTGACTGAAAGTCACTGCTCCTCACAAGTCAGCCCTCTATGGGACTCTGTCCTTCTGGGTCTGGTAACCACTTCCTCTCCTAATCTCTTTAGGCCTAGGTGTGGAAACAGGGTATCATACTCTATCTCCCCCTGTGGTTTCCCTGAACTCTTGCCTACACCTTTATAAACTGTCCTTTTATTAATCCTGTGCCATTCATATCCTGCTGGGACCCTGACTGATCTTACCCAGTCTCTTGATTTTAAATATCAACTGCATGCCAACAATTCCCAAATGTATAGTTCCAGCCCAGACCTATCTCCTGAACTGCAGACTCATATCTGGCTGCCTGCTGGACTTGATTGTCTAATATATATCTTAACTTACTGATCTTTCCTCCTAAACCTGTTGATGGCAACTCTATTTTTCCAGTTGTTTAGGACAGAAGTCTCAAAATCATCCTCAACTTTTTTCTTACGCTCCTCTTATCCAATCTGTCAGGATATCTGAGTAGGTCTTCTTTTAGTAGAGAATCTAACCACTACTCACCACCTCCTCTCCTATCGCCCTGGTTCAACTACTTTAACTTTCATCTCTAATAACCTCCCAGTTGATCTTCCGGCTTCTGCCCTAACCTTTTTCACCCTATTTTCAACATAGTGAGAATGATGAAAATGCATGTTAGATCATGTCACTCCTCTGCTTAAAACTGCCCAATGGCTTCCTATTTCAGAATAAGAGCCAAAGTCCTTAGGATACCTAAAAGGCCCTACACCATCTGCCTCCCACACCTTTTCCTTTATGACCCCATTTTCTAGTCTTTCCCCCTATTACCCTGCGCTGATCACAATGGCTTCCCTTACTGCATTAACTAACAGTATTCCCTCTGTCAGGAGTGCATCTCCCACATCTGCATGACTAACTCCCCCACATCCTTTAAGTCTTCATTCAAATGTTGTCTTTATGAGGTTTACCTAACCACCTTATTTAGAATTCCCTAGCACTCCTGATCCATCTTCTCTTACTGTCATTCCTTTTCTGCAACACTTAACATCTACTAAATATTATATCATTTACTTTTTTTAAAAAATGTTCATGCAGTACAGTTGGTTTTCACTTCTTATGTTATGCAGTTCTGTGAATTTTAACACATGTATAAATTCTTATGTCTATCGCCACAGTCAGAATACAGGACAGTTCCATACTCCAAATAATCATCACATCCTCCTCATCCCTAACCCCTGGCAACCGCTGATCTGTTCATCGTATAGTTTGTCTTTTCAATAATGGGATCGTGCAATATGTAATATTTTGACACTGGCTGCTTTTACTCAGCATAATCCCTTTGAGATTTATCCAAGTCGCTGAGTATATCGGTAGTTCATTCCTTTTTATTGCCAAGTAGTATTCTATGCTGTGGCTATACTGCAGTGTATCCATTCACCCACTGAAGGAAATTTGGGTTGTTTCCAGTTTCCAGGACATTTATAAAAAGAACTGCTAAAACATTAATGTATAGGCTTTAATGTACACATAAGTTTTTGTTTCTCTGGAATATAATTTACATATTAATTACATTCATTTTTTTTTGTTGTTGCATGTTTTGTTCACAGATGTATTAGCTTAAGTTTCTAAAACAGTTCCTGGCACATACCAGGCTCAACAGATTGGTGAATATGCAATGTTAATTTAAAATGGAAAGGTAGCTCTAGCTGGTTTGGCTTAGTGGATAGAGCGTCAGCCTGCGGACTGAAGGGTCCCAGGTTCGATTCCTGGTAGGGCACATGCCTGGGTTGTGGGCTTGCTCCCTAGTGGGGGGTGTGCAGGAGGCAGCCAATCGATAGCTCTCATCATTGATGTTTCTATTTCTCTCCCTCTCCCTTCCTCTCTGAAATCAATAAAAATATATTTTTTTAAAAAAGGAAAGGTATACAATGGGAGAAAAAAAGGGGACACATGTAATACTTTCAACAATAAAAATTAAAAAAATAAAATAAAATGGAAAGGTTTAGTGAAACCAGGATTATTCTGAACACATTCAGGGTTTACATCGGCAAACCCTAGACTGCAGTCTACTCAGACCCCAAGTGGTAGGAGACTTGAGTTGAAAGCACCTGCGAGTCGAGAACATAAAGGACTTTTTTCTGAAAATATTTCCTCCCTAATGTTTTTAGTGGCCATTTATCAGATTCCTGATTTGAGAATCTTGGGATGTGGTTAAGGAGAAACCTCTTGGGAGAATACTTTAACAGTGATGTCTACATAACTCATTTGTGAGCAAAATGAAAAGCCAACTTTTCCTCCCTAATGATAACCTAGAAACAAACTTGCTTGCAAAAGCAAGGGAAATAATTGGCACCATTCTCTCCACATTGTCCAATTTATTTAGTTTCACTTAAACTCACAGTAAAGGTCACTGGGTAGGATAAGAAAAAGGTAAGTTTAGGGGTAAAGAGGAAAATAATGATTCTGTGAGAGGTTGTGTTCATAAGAGAAGATGATGGATTTACTGGAATATTTGTATTAACAACCATAGCCTATATCTGACTATGAAGTATCTTTTGAATAATCTTTTATTTAAAATTATTTGCTGCCTAATGTCCCAAACCAGAATAGCAGTGTACCTCGTTAAAATACATAGACCCCCCCCCCCCCCATAAACCCTGTTCTTTAGAGGATGGAATTCCGTAATTATCAGTTGGCTCCTGGATCCCATCCAGTGCATTATAGCTTTTGAAGGCTAGCAAGATTTCACTTTAAGGTGGTTCCATGTTTAAAGTTTGAGCAAGGTTTCGGGATAAGTTTTCTTCATTTTTTAAGTGTTTCTTTTGGTATAAATGATATGGACTCATAAAAATTTCAAACTACATGAAGATATACAGACCTACATGAAGAAAAAAAGGCATTCCTACACCTATATATGAGCACTATTGATATTTTGATGAAAAATCCTTCTAGATATCTTCCCAGGTAGTTGTACAGTACACATATGCGTTTTTGTTACTCTAAATAGAAAGGGCTACAGTGATGCTTTTAGGATAGAGACAGCCCCCTTCACTTTTAATAAGAGTGGTTAGTACATAGAAGAAAGAAAATTAACTTCTATACCTAAAACACTGCAGACATCAGTGTTTAATTAAACATTTTTAGGATGATCTTTTTCAGGAAAAATGAAATAATTCTGAAATATATTGAGGGTTCTGAGTGCACATGGGAGTATAGAGGCTTTGCTTATTCATCCAAGTATCCAGGTTAAAACACTGTGGCAACTTGGAAGATCTAAGTATAGGACTAAAACAGCACCATTAACTCTCCATCTTCACATATCTCAGGCAAATTAGAAATAGATGTCTATTCATAGTTCTTCAGCCATTATAAATGGCCAGGTAGATGGGGGTGGGTATCATTGTTGTCAACTCAAATGAAACTCATAGCTCTCTGAAAAAAGCCATGCAATAGGCTATGTATGTATGTATGTCTGTTTTATTTAAATACTAGAGACCCAGTGCACGAATTCATGCACAGGTGGGGTCCTGCTTGGGCGGGGGGCTGCTGGAGGTTGGCCGGCTGGCCCCGCCCCTGATCAGGCTGGTTGGCCGGCCGAGTGCAGGTCATAGCGACTGGTCATTCCTGTCCTGTTATTCCAGTCACTTGGCTTTTATATATACTGTGTGCAGTGATCAGTTCAGTGATACTGTGTGATTGAATGAACTTCAGAGTAGATCATGGACCAAGATGGCGGCATAGGTAAACACCGGGAGATTGCTGCCTCGAACAACCACTCTAAAAATACACTATTAGACGGCACGGACATCACTCAGAACCACATGAAGGCTGACTGAGGAGAGACTCTTCAACTAGGAGGAA